CTGTTTTCCCCACGCCTCCCTTGGGTGCAGTCCCTCACGTCTCTGGATTCTGTGAACCACTGTAGCATCCACAGAACTCATGAAAGTTAGAGGGATTTTCTCACATGGTAGTGAGTGGTGTTCAGTTCAAAGTCCGAAGATCAAGCAGGGGTAAGCCGGATGCTGGGTCCAGAGGACACACTCCACTCTTGGCTTTCACCAGTGATGAGATGACACCCTGCATCTGAAAAAACAAATCATGGCTCACTGCCATGGAGTCATTTCTGACTCATCGCGAACCTACAGCACTGACTGGAACATCCTCTGAGTTTCTGAGACGGTAGTTCTTGATGGGAGTACAAAGTCTCATCGCTGTTCCTTGGAGCTGGCTGGTGATTTTGAACTGCTGACTAATGGAGGTTAGCTGCCCGATGCATAACCACTATGCCACCTGGGCTTCCTTCAGTAGATGGGCTCATGTTATATGCAGCAGGATGGCAATGAAGCGAATCCCATTCACAATTTCTCATAGGTAAATCCTTTCTCTTCCCCCACCTTCTTGCTACACCATGCAGGGAGAGGTCTAGTGTGGGTTACATGGTACAAATTTCACCCAAATGTAATAATCTATCTACTCTCTACGCCCGGACTGTATCTTATTTATGCACATATGACCTGGACTTCTGGCAGCGTATTTCCAGTAGACATTGGCCTCCTATCAATCTTAATCAGGCAGACACTTCCCCAGGCCACTCCAGAAGCAGTTTGTTTTCCTCCTCCTCTCAGCTGTAGTGTAATATTCATTACATCCATTAAAAAGAGCAGTAACCAAGATAACAAAATGGCATCAATTTCATGGCAGTGAGTTTGGTTTTGGTTTGGCTGTCCGATTCCCACCCTCTTCTAAAGTCAAATCTTAATCTCATCCTATTTGTTAGCAGATAATGCCCTCCAAAAATGGAACAATAGCCACAGGCGTATGAAATCCAAAATAATAATATAGCACATAAGGATTATGGCTGGAAGGGCCATATTAGCTATGTATAATGCATACTTCTATTCAATGTGATGCCAAACTATCTCTCAGCTAAAGTCGGTGATATTTAAAATGCATTACATTTTTAAAGTTAAAGTCAAGAAAGTTCTTTGGGCAGTTAGCAAACAAGCATATCACAAAGTGCAAATTAATCCACATACGTGAGGGATGTTTATGTCACAGAATTTTTAAGTACCATACAGGATTTAAGGGAGCCCTGGTAGTACAGTGATTGAGCACTCAGCTGGTAACCATAGGGACAGCAGTTTGAACCCACTAGCAACTCCACTGGAAAATATATGGCCGTCTGCTTTCCATAAAGCTTACAGCTTAAGAAATGCTGTAGGGCTTCGCTACGAGTCTGAATCCACTCAAAGGCAGTGGATTTATCAAAGATTTGTGGAGAGCAGGTCACTTAATAATAGCAAGTGCTGACAAGGATATAAAGAATTAAAACCCTCATACACTGTGGGTGGAAAAGTAAAATTGTGTGTCTATTTTAAAAAACAGTTCCTCAAAAAGTCCAACATAAACCATACACCCAACAAGAACCTAGTAATAAATATATATATATAAAACTTTACACTACACAAATAACTCAATTATAAAATGGGCAAAGGACTTGAATAGATATTTCTCTGAAGACATTCAAATAGCCACCAACTACATGAAAAGATGTGCAACATCATTAGCCATTATAGAACTACAAATCAAAATCACAATGAAATTCCATTTCACACCAACTAATGATATGCCAATGGCACAACCTTGATTTGAAGTGCTAACTGATGAAAATCAAAGACTATGAGCTGTCGAAGGTATCAACTGTCAGCCATCAAAGAACAAAAAAATCTTA